TGGTATACAGAAAATTTGGTTAATATGTAGTAAACCATATTTGCCTTTTATTGTATTCTTTCAGAATCTGTTGCCATTATTTAAGAGGATTTACTCATCTTGATCCTGTCTATATTTTCTTCCAATAATTTCATGACTTACTTTATTTACATTAACATCTGTATTATATCTGGATTATTGTTGTAATAAAGCGCCACGTCCAGCAAGTGGTAAATCCTGCCACGTGCAGCACGGCTCTGGAAAATAAACCTGAGTGGGAATGGTAGGAGATTAGGAAAAGAAGGAAGACAGAAAGCTGGGATCGGGAGGGTCACCATCCACTGATGGTGGAGCAATGGCCCCTATTCGCTTTATATGTATGCAGTGGCCCTGGCCTTCCTCACCTTTGCTCAGCCAAATTTATGTTTTATTTCCTTTAAAACCCTTCCCTTTCCAGGTACTTATTTCTAAATTAGCCAAGACTGTCATGTATGCAAGAGACAGAAAGTAAAACTAGCTCGAATATCCAGGGAGTCGTTGGCTCATAGTATTGGAAAGAACAAGGCCTTCTGGCTTCAGGTATGGCTATAGCCAGAGCTGTCTCTCTAACTCTCATCTTTACATCCTAATGCAGATTGATTTCAGTCTGCAAACTGTCCTTCCAGACAACCAAGGAAGATGGCAGCAGGCAGAATGAGGTCCTATATATAGCTCATGATCCCAGAAGAAGAATGAGACATCCATTATGTCCTCATCATAGAGCTAATTATTGTGGCGAGGGGATAGGATTCTCTGATCAATAAGTGTAGATTGCATGGTACTGGGAGGCTATGTTAGAGACAGGTCCATTTGGAGTAGTGGATGGAGATCCACAAAGGGAAAGCCAGGTGCTGATAGAGATACTGGGCAGACAGAAACAACAATTGTCATTACCATTATTTGCAATAAAATCATCTAGGAGGTGGCAGGATGAGGAACCAGTGACATAATCCAGTTGCAACCTCGGATCTCTCGGATCTGCTGTGGGCTTTTCCACAAAGAGATAAACAACAGGTCTCAGGCCATAAGTTTAGCACAGATCTAGAAGGTTCAGGAAGGAAGAGAGAAGAATCTTGGAGACCTGATTTGCCCAAGTCTGTATTCAAGGGTAAGTGGTGTCAAAACTCACCAGGCAGAGACCAGCAGAGACACACCTATAGTCAAAAAAAACAAACAAACCTTTTTTTAGCTTGCTCCAGCAAGGACCACATACTGGGGAACCATAGGGCACCTCCGTAAGAGGGAGTTGGAGGCAGAAGGGCATCTTATAGGACTCGGCCGTGTGCTGGGTAGTTTTAAGGAGAGTTGACAAGAGTAGAACAATTATAAGTTGGTGCTGTCAGGAAATGGAGCAGATCAGTGCTTTTTATCAAGTAGGATTGTGGAAGTGGAGTTGTCATTGGTAACAAGGGGCAGTCATTTGTGTTAGTCAGGAGGGGGGAGTGTGTATTCATTTTGTGGTTGCAGAGTGTCCTTGTCTCTGGCTTAGTGTAGACATGGTCACAGAGTGGCCTTGAGTACGTTGTTTATATTCTGTGACTGTTGTTTATGTTCAGTGAAGAACATCACCGAGCTGGCCTGTTTTTCATTCCCTCTATGTGGGGCTCTGTGTCTCCAGGTAAAGTTTGCCCAGAGTCCTTCCCAATCTCAGATCAGACTTCCCCCGGGAATCATCACTTCAGGGAGCATCAGGCACAGTGTGACGGTAGTGAGTGACCCATCAACTGGGTAGGAGGAGGGAAACCCTCAGAGACATAATCTCCAACTTTTCCGTGGGAGCCTTAAAGGGAAACGTGGATTAGGATTAAGCAAAGATAAACAAATTTGTAAATTGCAGGGCTGTATGGCTATAGCCGAGAGAGAGAGACAGAGAGAGACAGAGAGACAGAGAGAGACAGAGAGAGACAGAGAGAGAGAGATTGATTGTAGGTGAGGGGGAGAGAACGATGTTTGGGTTTTTTTGAACATAGAGTCAGAGACATGGGCAGGAGTCAGAGACAGAGGAACAGGCAGAAAAGGTGACAGGACAGAGGCAAAAGGATTAAAACAGAGAGAAATAGAGAAAAAGGAATAGATATATACCGACTGAGAAAGACAGGAACAGGGACGGAAGTAGGCACGGGCACAGAGAGAGACGGAGAGGGACAGAGAAAGGGACAGGCACAGGAGAGGGCAGGCGCGGCCGAGCGGTTGGCGCACCGCGCAGACAAA